GGCAATGGTCTTGTTATGTTACAATTTTCTTATGAGAGAACGACTAAAATTGTATTGGTCATGCATAGGCGGTGTCAGGGCACCTATGTTGGGAGGTAAAAAATAACCCCCTTTTTGGACGCCTGGATCCGCCTATTATAGCAAAAACGTGTCAAAAGAGGATGCACAATACCTTTGTATATGTTATCACATGATACCTTTCATTCACTGTTCGTAAAACTGGTGCAGCATCGTGATCTTCGCCCAAATGACTCGCTTCACGAATAGGACCCCCCGATTCCCAGTGCTCTTGAGCCACCCCTGGTAAAGTTATGAACTTGAAATTTTCAGGGAATGCGCCCAGTTTAGTTTTAAGAACAGTCAGAAAATTGCAGCATCGTAGCTTCAGTGGTTTCGGAGATATTCCCGAAAAACCTGAGGGGTGGATAAAAACAACCCCCCCTGCCACTAATAGGGTTAAGGGGGTGGGGCGTTTCGCACGGTTCTTCCTACCTAAGATCATTGTTAAGATCTGAAATGATAAATCAAAACATGGCTCACAGCAGGGCTGAAGCGTGAAATACGCAAGCATGGCTACTCAAGCTTGATCAGCTCAACGATTCAAAGAGAACATGCAATTCAGGCTCTCCGCCGATGATGACAGCCTGGTCGGGTAGTTCGCACCGCGACAGCGTCCGTCTGCTTTGTGCGGCGCGGCGCGGCACGGCGCGGCTGGAGGGGGAGGCAGGCGATGCGTCTGAAAAGCGACGCTTGAACGTCCCGGGAATCACCTGTCACCATGCGGCGCGGCGGTCGGTCCCTCCGACCCTTCCCATTGTTACCTGACTGTGGGTGCCGGTCCCCCGGAAGGGTCACTTTGGTATGCGAAATCTTCACTCGTTAATCGGACAGGAGGGGAGCAGTAGACATTCGATGGAGTAGGCGATTCGGGCGTAGGTCAGCCGGGCGTAGACATTCGATGGAGTAGGCGATTCGGGCGTAGGTCAGCCGGGCGTAGGTCACCCGGGCGTAGACATTCGATGGAGTAGGCGATTCGGGCGTAGGTCAGCCGGGCGTAGGTCAGCCGGGCGTAGACATTCGATGGAGTAGGCGATTCGGGCGTAGGTCAGCCGGGCGTAGGTCAGCCGGGCGTAGACATTCGATTGAGTAGGCGATTCGGGCGTAGGTTAGCCGGGCGTAGGTCACCCGGGTGTAGACATTCGATGGAGTAGGCGATTCGGGCGTAGGTCAGCCGGGCGTAGGTCAGCCGGGCGTAGACATTCGATGGAGTAGGCGATTCGGGCGTAGGTCAGCCGGGCGTAGGTCACCCGGGCGTAGACATTCGATGGAGTAGGCGATTCGGGCGTAGGTCACCCGGGCGTAGGCCACCCGGGCGTAGGTCACCCGGGCCTGAGCCAACCACTGGAATAAAGTGCACAGGGCTAACTCCATGCGCCGAATGAGACTCGCAATGTCACGCTTGTGTCCAGTAACAAGAATCTGCGTGTCGTCGGCGTACTGAGTGATGCTAACGTCGTCACCGACGTATAGGCTGATGTCGTTTGCAAAAATACTGTACAAGAGGGGCCCCAATGAGGTGCCCTGGTACACTCCGATAGGGTTTCTAGCCGCCTTGGATAGAAGCTGACGACCATCTGGAAAGCAAAGTCTAACTTGCTGATAGTGGTCGGATAAGTAATTTGAGAACCAAGTGCTTTCTACCCCATAAAGTTCAAGCTTTTCAATCAGTTTTGAATGGCTAACCACATCGAAGCATTTACTGAGATCTAATAGTACTAAAAGAGATATTTGGCCGTTGTCCATACCCTGAAGAACGCGGTCTGTTACTCTTATAAGGGCCGTCTCGGTCGAGTGGTGGCGACGAAAGCCATGCTGCGTACACGAAAATAGGTGGTTCGAGTCAAAGTAAGTATACAGCTGCGTGTGAACTATGCGTTCGACGATCTTTGATAAACAAGGCACGAGCGATATTGGCCGAAAATTGGAAGGGTCGTTGGTGGAGCCCGACGATTTGTACAAGGGCTTAACAATCGCAACCTTCCATGAGTCAGGCACAATGCCGGTGACTAGGCTAGTGTTCACGATACATAACACTACATGTGAGACAACGCTAAAACACTTTTTAAAAAACGTCATAGGCAGTCCGTCGGTACCGCACGCTCCACTGTTACTCATACTGTTGACAACCTGCCACAGCTCGGCGCCCGACACCGGTCGCACCGCGAACCCACCCGACCCCACACGGGGCAGGCGGACTGGCAGCTCCGCAGTACCGGCCGGCGCCCCAGCCGCAACAGCGGTCGCAGTCTTGATGCCGATCTCAGCGAAGTAAGTGTTAAGTGTATCAGGATCAATGTCCGGTGTGACCGTCTGTCCGCTCCTCTTGCTGCCAATTACGGAGCGCACGCAGCGGTACATCGAGCCGGGACCCGCTTCAGCTATCCGCCGTCTAAAGCTGTCACGTGAGTCACGTAGTGTAGCCGCGCGGACCTGTCGGTTGAGCTCTCTGTACCGCGCGCGGTCTCCCCGTCGTAGTGCGGCGCGCCGCAAGGCCATGATCCGCCGTGTTGTTTCGGTCACTGGCGGTGGGTCGGGGTTACGGATGCGCACCTTTCGAACGGGAGCGTGTTCATCGAGTACGGCGGTAAGTTGGCCGATGAAAAAGTCACTCTGCCGCTGCACATTATCGGTTACGAAGACTGGAGACCAGTCGATGTTACCGAGTCGAGTCAGGAACGTGTCCATGTCAATGGATTTCCAGCCACGGGTCTGCACCGCCACGGGCGCCGGACGGCACCTACGAATACGTAACAGAGCGCGAGTGAAATGGTGATCACTAAAATCGCACCGGCGCACACCCGCCCGGGCCACTGCTTCAGTCGAGTTGGTAATAATAACATCAAGCACGGACCCGGAGCGGGGATAGGTGGCATCGCTGATGTGCTGAGATAGCGAGTATCTCTGGAGTAGCCCGGTGAGCTGACCACCAGGAGAGCCCCCAGTAGTCTCTCGTAGGTCACAGTTGAGGTCACCCGCCAGGATCACAAGGCAGCAGTGCTCCGTCAGTACGGCCTGGATCTCCGTCTCCAGCTGCTCAAGATCCGCCGTAAGCTGAGCGCCAGTGGATGACGGAGGACGGTACATGGAACAAACGACAATACCTCTGCCGGGCCCCGCTCCAACACGGACCCAGACGGTCTCAAGCTTGGAGGTAGAGTTGTCAGACTCCGGCTTGGGTATGACTTTAAACTGAAAGCCATCGCGGGCCAGGACCGCCACTCCACCAAAGCCACGGCCGCCTGCCCGGTCGGCTCTTATCAGCTGGTACCCGGGAAAAGAGACGAGGCGGTTGGGCACGCGCGGTTTCAGCCAGGTTTCGGAGAGTGTAATGATGTCTGCTTCCGTGTCTGAAATTTCCAGTTGAAGCTGAGAAATCTTGGGAAGAAGAGACTGGACGTTGAGAGATGTAAGCAAAAGCTGACCGGGCCGAGCGCCGCCTCTGCGCCACCCTTGGCCACCTCTGCACCCTCGGCGGCGTGCCCCGGCACCGCTCCTGCCACGGTGGACGAGTGGTCTAGCCCTCGGGGGCACAGCCTGTGACAGGTCAAGGTCACCAGTCACAGCTGCTCCAGAGGCAGCGCCGAAAGACGACGGAGGGGCTGGGGCGTCACGGCGAACTGTTCGTAGCCTGGGAGGACGATGACGTGCAACATCATCGTTGAGTCGATGCAGATGCAGGTGGAACTGTCTGCTGCCGGGAACGCCTTGCCAATTCGGAACGGTGAGCGCGTAAAGCACTCGGAGCACAGCGAGAAACACGAGACTCCTGGCAACGTCACGATGCATTCTCGCCGCACGAATCACAGTCCAATCCTTTCGAGTTAAGTTAGATGGCACGGCAGTGCCAACCTTACACCACCACCACTAGTAAAATCCACTCAGGAAATAGGCACGGGGGAAACACACGGTTAGCGGAGAGCCCCGGCAACGCAGCCGCACTGGGCGCGGTGCACAGGAGAACTGAGGCCACTTAAATAGTAGGCCTCGCTTGGGCAAGCCCTGGATACGTGCAATAAGTCGCGAAGTGAAGGGAAAGGATGAGAGCGAGTTGAGGATCGATTATTGAGGATGAGTGCATAGCCGGCGAAGGCTAATCCGTTCGGTTGCCGGCGCGGGCCCCATAAAGCCGTGGCTATACGGAGACGATGCAGGCAGCCCGGAGGGACCTAGTGACCCCGCCCGGTTTTAAACGATAGGTTAGGTCCGCTATCGGTCCATTGAGTGATCAGCGCAGGATGACATTCGATAAGCGACATAGGTAGTTTCGGAGATGGTTAGGACCCCAGGCGTCCCAGCGAGGAGACGTATGCCGCCGGTTAAGTAATGTCCCGCGAAGAAACGTGTGATGCTGCAGGACGGGGGTGAACATTAAATACCAAAGCATGCGAGTCGGGTGATCGCGGTAAGTCGGTACTGGCCACCCCGCTGTCAGTCGATTTACTCCGGCCAGCGGTCATTTCGGATAGGTCTGTGACGACAGCTTAACTACCAGCAACGGATAGATAGGGCTTCGGGCACCTATAACGCTGGTAGTCGTGGATAAGTGTGAAGCCAACGGAGGCTAACCCGTTCGGTCGCCGGTGCTGTTCCAAAAGCCGTGGCTATACGGAGACGATGCAGGCAGCCCGGACGGACCTAGTTACCCAGCCCGGTTTCAAAGTTTAGATAAGCCCACCGCGGGCCGTGGTACGCTTAGTTTTCGTTTTATTATAGGCAATTTGGCATAAACTGGTAGTCATGGATTTGTGTAAAGCCGACGAACGACTAACCCTTTTCGGTCGCCGGGGGCTGGCCCGAAAACCGCGGCTATACGGAGACGACGCAGGCAGCCCGGACGGACCTTAGTTACCCAGCCCCGGTCTCAAATTCCAAATAAGTCCCCCGCGGAAACCGGACTACACAGAACACGACGAAACACGAGTACCATGACATGTGTACATTTATGCAAAAATGACAAAGTAGGCGCCAAGGGTCTCGCTCGTGGCACCACAGCGCGCATAATAATAACGCTGCCGACTTGGAGCCATCGTCGTCATCTGACGAGAGTATAATCATCGGCACCCGCGGGCGGCGTGACCAGGCCCGCCGCGATCCAGTGGCGGGCGCCGCCAGGAACTGTGGCCCCCGCGACGGTGCCGGAGACGTGACGGCCGCTCATCCGAAGGACGGCGTCGTCACGGGTCGCAAGAGGGCAACCGAGCTCTCGCTCGCTTGCGCGGACGATCGTTCGTCAGTCGGAGCAGCAAAGTGCATGATGCAAGAATCATGCGGCCGAACCCATGCTCAGCTGGTAATCGTCGATCTCGATGCGGATGTGCCGACATCACGGAGCAGGTCCGCAGGGCGGCGTTCGAGCAGTTCTATTCTGCCACCAGCAACGCTGAGCAACGCAGCATGCTCTCAAAGTCGATATCGATCGTCAAAAAACAAAGTGGGAGCAGCAGACGCGTGGTTGTCGCTTACACAATAGAGAGGGAGAACGGTGAGCGACTGCCTGTCTGCCGTAAATTTCTGATGGCCACACTGGACATAACGGCGGAACAAGTGCGCACAGTCATCAAGAACACGAGGTCCGGCCATCCGCAGACGACGCGCCGAGGTGGCGCGCGTCGCTCGGTCGACCCGCAGAAGCTGGACGCGCTGCGCGCCTGGATCGGCGCGCTGCCCGCCGTGCCGAGCCACTACTGCCGCGCTAAGTCAGCGCGTCGCTATCTGCCGTCTGACGTCAGCAGCGTGCATAGTTTATACAGGATGTATCGCACTGCCGTTCCGGGGGCCCTCAGATTCGGAGTGTTCAGAAAAGTTTTCAAGACGTTTAACATCGGCATCCACCAGCCCCGCAAAGATAAGTGCATCATGTGCACACAGCACGAGCGAGGAGAAATCACGGAGGAGGAGATTCATGAGCACCTGGCCGAGAAGCGGGCACTCTCCGACTTCTTCGCCGCCGCCCAGCAGCGCCGTGACGAGCAGGAGCGCGTCGCCTCCTTCGACCTGCAGAAAGTCCTCAACACCCCACACACGGATTCGATGCTCGTCGGATATTCACGCAGGTACGGTCATAAAAGTGGTTTGTTTATCTAGTTTCTTGAGCTCTGAGTTTTATTCTGTGAAACTTTGCACAGAAAACAACAAAAAAGCGCAATAGTCAGAGTTCACTTTCATTGATATCAATTGTAAATCATATAATTTGTCATTTTCCATTGCCTCTCAACAGTTCACTGACAGTGCCTGAGTGTGCAGCTATGTATACAGTAAGAAGCAGATCCCAAGCTTTTTAATGTAGGTTTCATAATTTTGTTCTGCCGCAATAGATCAGACATTTTTGTTCCGTGAACTGATATCAGTGATTTTTTACAGGTACGCTGTCTACAACGAGACTGTCTATGAGAGCCAGACCCGTCGCGGCCTCTGTTTCCTGTGGGGAGAAACCGACGGCAAGCGCGGCGCCAACGAGGTCACGACGGTCGTGTGGCGTTACCTCAAGCTCGTCGACCAGGAGAGGAACGTCACAAAAGTCAGTCTCTTCTGCGACTCCTGCTCGGGTCAGAATCGCAACAGGATCCTGATGAGCTCGCTTCCCGTGATGCTGAAGAACCTGCAGAACATCCACACGATACAGGTCACGTTCCTCCTGCCCGGGCACACGTCCATGCCCGTCGACAGCGTGCACGGCACCATCGAGCGGTTCGTCCGGAAGCGCGCTGTCTGGGCACCGTCTGAGTGGCCCGCATTCATTCGCGCGGCACGTGTCAACCCCTTCCCTTACGAAGTGGTCAAAATGGCGCACGACGACTTCCTCGACTGGTCGTCCAAGGAACTGTTCAAGACCAACAAGAACGAAGACGGGGAGCGCGTTCCATGGGGCTCCATCCGCTTCGTTCAAGCCACGTCCACTGGCGTCAAGTACGCTACCAGCGTACAAGAGGCGGGCCAGGAGGGCATCAAGCTCCACAGCGTCATTCCGCAGCGCTCGTCACGGAGAGGTCGTCGTCCCAGCGCCGACAGCAGCCTTCCTGGAAAGGCGTATCCCGCACCGCTGGCCATAAACCCGGCTAAGTACAGGGACCTCGTGGCCCTCGTCGACAAGGGGATAATTCCCCAGGAGAGGCACCAGGAGTACAAGGGTATGAAGAGTGAGCTCACGGTTCCGGATGAGCTCGCCGAGTCGGACGAGGAAGACCAGTGAGTTCATTCCAGTCGGCCAATGACTGGACTAAAACTGCGCGTTGACTGTGTATGCCTGAAAGTCTTTCATTGTGTTGTGTTTTTGTCTGAGACTGGCAACAAGTCATGTGTATTCGCCTGCCTCTTCAGATGACAGATTTGTGTTGGGTAAGAATAAACAGATGCTTACAACGTATTGTGCTGGGCATTTAAATTCGCTTTAATGATATTAAACGATTGTTCTTGCAAGTGGCGGCAGGAAATTAGGGAAATATTCCTCATGGATGGTGTTCTGGTCCAGCTGCGTAGAAGTGCCTCTTGGACTGTTCAGTGTGGACTGTGGAGTGCCAAATCATTACTTAGGACCGACTCCACAGTCGTTTGAGCGTCATGTATAATATATATTTAATTGCCCGGTCCGAGCACTATACCAGACTTTATTCGGTCGCTTTCCCAAGGGTGTTTTAAAATAATGTCCGAACGAAGTGAGGACATTATTTTATCGAAAATAGCGTCCGAACGGAGTGAGGATGCTATTTTCGAAAATTGCACGAATGAAATGAGTGCAGTTTTCGCATTGAATGTGCGAGCCTGCGAGCATATTCAATGAAAACACCCTTTAGGAAAAGCGACCGTATCATGGCTGGTATATCATTCGGACCGGGTAATTAAATTTAATTATAGTAAATTTTTGGCACCGAGCACCAACGCATCTCTGAGAAAGGGTTCGCTTTTGGGCTTCGACATCAAGGAGGGGCACGGAAGATGGGGGGGGGGCAGCAAATGGGTAAAGCTTTGGGCGTATAATGTTTTGTATTGCTCAATGCCCCACTTTTTCTACTCGTTTTTTCCTGTGTGTTATACTAGTCGTGTCTATTTCTAGTCGTCCTAACCAGGCCAATAGTCATGTCAGACAGCAAGCCAATGGGTTGCCAATCCCCTTAATAGTCATTGTTAAATGTTATTAACCCGAGCCGGTGCTCCGAGATTCCGCGCCGGGCCAGGGGGGGGGGGTTGTCTGAACACCCCCCGTCTAACTCGGCTCCTGCGCCACGTAGCGACACGCAGTAAGCGGCAATCGAAAGAACGTCCAAAATAAGGACGAAAACACTTCGGTCAATTTTTTTGGGTCAGGTCAAAGGTCAGGTCACCAGAGGTCACCAAAGGTAAAATGTTGACTTTTTCAACATTTTGGAAACTGCCGACGGCTATCTCGGGAACCGATAGAGCTACAGCGCCGCAGAAAAGCGCATTCGATAGCCCTTTTACAGAACTTTCTGGATTATGCTCTCAGATTTGACCTCAGGTCGACGGTTTAGCCTCCAGAGGGCAAAAACTCCAAAAATAGCCGTTTTTACCAAAAGCGTTTTTCGGCAATAACCTTTGACTCAAAAGAGCCATGACATTACTTTTGCCAGCATCGTGTTCCTCTCGTCGAGACGCGTCGAATGATCTATAATTTGATCTTGAAAGGTCAACTTGAAAATTTGACCTCAGGTCAAGGTCATGACCTGACCGCAAAAGGTCATGTTGCATATCAGTCGATCCGAAACGTCGAGCCGAACACATCTAAGGCGTTTTCAGCGCTCTAGCGCGCCTCTATCAGAAGTTATTAGCGAAAAACTGTCAGATTCTGTTCGTGACCTGAGATGACCTCGGGGACATAACCCACTCTCCCCTATTATATGTAGGTTAGTTGTTCAAACTTCAAACACTTACAATTACCAGTTTGTAGTGAAGCAGACCTCTGATAAAGCATACAGCATTATTTTCTAAGTTTTAGTATATAAAGGAAAAACTCATGAAAACATCAACTTCTCAGAAGCAGCTTGATCCACGGATAGAGGCTTACACACATGTGAATACTTTTGCAGTCGCTAGCCATCGCTCTCCGAAAGCACGTCGACTTCTGTAGCATCATCCATTCAGAGTGATAAGTTTTGTTGGAGCCTGTGTCCGCTGTACCGTAGAGCTACTCACCCACTGTGTCCGCTGTACCGTAGAGCTACTCACCCACTGTGTCCGCTGTACCGTAGAGCTACTCACCCACTGTGTCCGCTGTACCGTAGAGCTACTCACCCACTGTGCAGAGTCGCCCATGACCCTGGTGTCGGCCGCGGCTGAGAGACCAGTCACAGGCCGAGACCACCCCGACGGCTGCTCCTGAAAAGGCACCGGGCGGAGTTAGCCAACGGCGCTGCAGGTCCACCGTGCACCGCTGGCAGCTGACTAAGGGTGCTGCAGGTCCACCGTCCAACACGGGCCGCTGGCAGCCGGCCGCGCCTAGCCTCCGCCACCAGTGCCGCTACCACGGAGACAGGTGTCACACACAATCCCACGCCACACCATCGATCACAGAGCACAGTTCCCAGATGCCATGGAAATGTTAGGCAAAGAGGCGGCGTCTGTATTGGAGTTCGGGTATCGCAGCAGCAGCAGCAGCAGCAGCAGCAGCAGCAGAAGCAGCAGCACGCGCACGCAGCGAGCACCAGGTACTTGGCCAAGTGACCACCGCACAGTATGGCCAAACATCAGCTAAGCGCGAGTTTAATCCCAGCGCCGCTCGGATCCACTGAAAATGGTTCTTTGGTTTCAAATTTGACACTTAGACCTATGTGGGAACTTCTGCGATACCGTAAGGTGCCCTACCTTTTTTGAGATAGGACTGATTTTTTTCCTCTCCCCTTAACCCGGCAGGCGGTGGGTCTCACGGCTCCCGGCCACCTTCCGCGCGGTGGGGGGGGGCATTTTTTTGCCCCCCCCCCGTATCTCCGAAACTACTGGACGGATCCGAAAAATTCAAACGGCGTTCGATAGCCCTGTCAAAGTTGTCAACAGAAAGCAAATTTCATTGACCTCGGGGTCACCGATGACGTCACAGGTCAGGTCAAAGACAAAATGTTTCACCGTTCACGGGCTTCTATGGAAAGCGCTATAACACCGAGTAAAACGTATTTTGTCGAAAATCGGCGATAGGGCGTCAGTTGTCTAGTACACATGTTGCTATTGGGGGTCACTGGTCATACCAGGTCAGGTCATAGGTCAGGTCACCAAAGGTCACCAAGGGTCGCTACATGAGCCCAACTTTACTAAGGTTGTGCGATGCACGCTTATCCCGAAATCGGGTAAACCAGCAGATTCGGTAAAAGGTTGGAGACCCATTTCTTTATTAACCCGCGAGTTGCTGGGGGGCGTTAAACGCCCCCACTTTTTTCGCCGGGCCATAGCATAAAAATGGCGCGCCGCAGGCGCGCCAAAATTTGGGTACCTGTAGGAAATTGATTGAAGTTTATTGTGACAAAGTTTCAAAAAAATCGGTCAGAAAATTTTTGAGATATCGAGGTTTTAGTGACGTCATGATTTCTGAGTTTTCGACCAAAAACGGCATATGTTCAAAAAATCATATAAAATCACAGAATAGACATACAGACATGCCGTAAACGCCATTAGACTGCAAATACCATGGACAATCAAATGGCTATCTTCGATTATTGATTATCGTTCTGCATTTTCCAAAACCTTGAACTGAATCTTGGCAATTTCTCGCGACTACTTCACGACCATGATACATGCATTTCTTGAATTGAACTTTTTGAGCCAAACACGTACACATACGATAAAATGAATGTCACCATCGGGTTCTACGCCCCAAATTACCCATAAAACATGTGTCGCAGGCTGCGAATATCAGTTTTGATTTTCGGGGATATGTGCCTACCCGGTTGACCTGACCTTGACCCTGACCTATGCTTGACTGACCCCTACTTGGAGCTGACACTCTTGTAGGCCTTATATGATGGATTGTGCACCGTTTTGACAGCGTTTATGACGAGAGGCGCCCATTGCGAAGCCCTGAAGTCCATGCTACTGAAAGCCCGATTTCAGGTGTTTGACCTGACCTTGACCCGACCTGTGACCTCAAAATTCAACTTTAAAGTACTCATCTGAAGCGTCTCGTCGCGCTCTTTCGTTTGCCGCCTCGTGCGTTTCGCTGGGCCTATTGGCTCTCGAGTTATCGGCTGGGGGCGTTTAACGCCCCCCCCCCCAGCAAACGGTGGGTGGCGAAATACCCCAGCAATTGCCGGGTTAAACACTGATTTTAAAATTATATCTGCTGCTATTACTTCTAGGCTGAAAAGCGTAATGCATGAACTTATTTCACCTAGTCAGAGTGCTTACATAAAAGGGCGATGTATAGCAGAAAATAGCAGACTTGTATATGATGTTGTTATTGATTTTTTAAACAGAACCAACAATCCTGGCTTCCTCCTCGCAGCAGACATTGAAGCCGCGTTCGAAAGTGTTTTCTGAGATTTCTTACGTAAAGCATTAGATCAATACAACTTTGGACCTAATTTCAAGAAGCTGATACAGCTTAATGTTTATGTTTTTTCGGAGTTGTTCAAGAGGACAAGTACAAATATTACATTTATTCAGATATTTCAGTACTCGTTGTGGTACCTTCATCGGTGAAATGGCGCACAAAGTTTCGGTTCGTAGTTCGACAATCACATACAATACAAAACACGCGACAACGTCATCTAAAAACCTACACTTTAGATATGCCTGAGAAGACCTAATTACCTAAACCTAATTTAGCACCAAGCATATTGCAGGCAATCTACCTACCAGCCGTTGGTGACTTTTTTTCTAAATTAAACTACAACTGTTGGGGACAAACTTGTAATGTAATGTTCACAATCGGCGTAATTGTAGGACAAAATATACGAAAAAAACGATATGAGAAAAGATGGCGGCCGCTGGGTAAATACTAGAGGTTCTATAATCTAGCGGTTTGAAGACGACGATACTATGTATGCTGCGGGTCTAGGTTAACCTGCGCCCAGCTGGGGGTCCTGGATTTCCACGCCCTGCTGGGGGGGGGGGGGGTGTTTGAACACCCCCCCTTGTAACTCGGCTCCTGGGCCACGTAGCGATACGCGGAAGGCGGCGTTCGAAAGAGCGTCAAAAAAAATGACGAAATCACTTCGGTCAATTTTTTGGTCAGGTCAAAGGTCAGGTCACCAGAGGTCATTGAAGGCAAAATTTCGCCGATTTCCAGGTCGAATGTCGAAAATTTCCAAGAAGCCAACGCGTAACTCGGGAACCAATAGAGCTACAGCGCCGCGGAAAAGCGCATTCGATAGCCCTATTAACGCCCTTTCTGAGTAATTCTCTCAGATTTGACCTAACGTCAACGGTTTTGCCTGCAGGGGGCAAAAACTGCAAAAATAGCCGATTTTTTCGGAAACAGTTTTTCTGCAATAACTTTTGACCCAAGCGTTGTACGAGCTTACTATCACCGGCATCGTGTTCCTCTCGTCAAGACGCATCGAATGAACAATAATTTGACCTTGAAAGGTCAACTTGAAAATTTGACCTCAGGTCAAGGTCATGACCTGACCGGAAAGGGTCATGTTGCATATCAGTCGATCCGTATCGTCGAGCTGAACACATCTAAGGCGTTTTCATCGCTCTAGCATGCCTCTATCAAAAGTTATTTGCGAAAAACTGTTAGATACCATTCGTGACCTAAGATGACCTCAGGGCATAAACAAGGGTCACGGACACCATTTTCATGTTCAGTGTGTTTAAACCACTTGTAATTCGGTGTTTGGGAGTCTTTATAATGTCTTTAATCCAAAAGAGGCGCATTTCAATTTTCTCCCATTGACTTATAATGGGGAGGTCGCAAAATTGACCTGACCTTAGGTCATCGATATCAAAATTCTGAGATATACATTTTGTACATGCTATTGCTCTTAGCAATCGCTGAAAGTTTCAAAGCGATCGGTCACTCGGTGTAGCTATGACAGACATTGACACTTTTTATGAGGTGAGGTCACTTTAAGTGACCTGGTGACCTGACCTTGAATGACCTTGGTATGAAATTTTCACAACATGTGTAGAATTTATGTATGATAAGGTGTACCAAAAACGGCGGCGCGGAGCGCCGCCGTTTTTGAGATATTCGCGAAAAACCACAAGGGGGGTGTTCAAACACCCCCCCCCCCAGCAGGGCGCGGGTTAAGAGAATGTCCCATATGGGGCTCAAACGGATGCCGCCCTCGTCAAGGTTCATAGTGGCCTGTGGCGTTAGCTTGACCTCTATGGCTTCTCGGACCTTGCGCCTCTTCCAGTGACCTTCAGTGGCTAGCGTCTTGGCGGTGAGAGGGTTCAGGTCACCCCTGCAGGTGCTGAAGTGTCTTGCTGTAGCAGACTTGTCCAGCCGTGCGTGCTTGATGTCCGCGACATGTTCTTTGAGTCGGACATCCTTTGGCCTTCCCGATTCGCCGATGTAGACTGAGCCACAGTCTACATCGGCGATCTGGTAACAGGATATCTGGTACAGGATATCTGGTAGACTACTCCTTTTTTCTTTTCGGGTTTGGGGGCGTCTTTGGCTTTGACTAGGCGGCTTCTTAGGCGGTTCGATGAGTGTGCCACTTGGATTCCAATGGGACGGAGGACTTTAGCTAGTTTTTCACTAACGCCCCTCACGTATGGTAGCTTGACGAATCCAAGTGGCACACTCATCGAACCGCCTAAGAAGCCGCCTAGTCAAAGCCAAAGACGCCCCCAAACCCGAAAAGAAAAAAGGAGTAGTCTACCAGATATCCTGTTCCTGTGGCTCAGTCTACATCGGCGAATCGGGAAGGCCAAAGGATGTCCGACTCAAAGAACATGTCGCGGACATCAAGCACGCACGGCTGGACAAGTCTGCTACGGCAAGACACTTCAGCACCTGCAGGGGTGACCTGAACCCTCTCACCGCCAAGACGCTAGCCACTGAAGGTCACTGGAAGAGGCGCAAGGTCCGAGAAGCCATAGAGGTCAAGCTAACGCCACAGGCCACTATGAACCTTGACGAGGGCGGCGTCCGTTTGAGCCCCATATGTGACATTCTCTTATCCTAGACCCGCAGCATACATAGTATCGTCGTCTTCAAACCGCTAGCTTATAGAACCTCTAGTATTTACCCAGCGGCCGCCATCTTTTCTCATATCGTTTTTTTCGTATATTTTGCCTTACAATTACGCCGATTGTGAACATTACATTACAAGGTTGTCCCCAACAGTAGCCTTTCTCATAAAGCTTTGTCTAGTAAAAAGTAATAGTAAAAAGCACGATTTTACTGTTGACCAGTAAAATTTTGTTTTATA